GTGATTCACTGCAGTTGTTAATGAATCAGGCAGTCGTTAAGCAAATCAAAATTCCCCCATTGACTTGGCATGTCAGAACACAGCTGGGAAGATTGCAAACAGTGATCATGTGATCCCAGGATGTTTCAACCATCGTAAATGCAGACCAATTGCCAACTATCTGAATTTTGATCACGTGACCAGGGGGATGCTGCAACAGTTGTTAAATGTGAGGACCAGTTTTTTCAGTGCTGTTGCAAGTCAAGGACTTCCTGTATTGCATACCCAAGCAACTGCTTTGATCTCAGAATGCATTATTAAAATTCCCAGCTCCACATTATCCTGGGTGTGACTTGAAAGAACTTGAAAAGAAACTAATTCATACTTTATTTTTGCTTTTAGAAAAATCCACCTCGGAAGAAGCGTGTTCGAGTTGCAAGTGGCAAATTTTGATCTTCCATCCCCCCCGCCCTAATGGCATTATTTTTGCAGGTTTGTTTAATTTAATTTTCAATATTTAATCACGAGATCCTTAAACCATTGGAAATGGACTGAACTTCACTGACTTCCAGTTCCTAATGAAAAACAGTTTGTGCAAGGTCAAAACAAGATCTGCATGATAGTGTTTCTGAACACTAAAAATATTGTAGACATGCTAAATAAAGCCAGAGGGCTGCAAGAGATTCCATGGTATAAAAATAAATAAGCTGATTTATACATGGGAAAGGCACAGCAAATGGACTCATATTGGATCAGCCATTATATTGACAGGCAATAGCTTTTCGGGATTTCTGGTAGAAATGTTTCCAGACCAATCTGGAGATGCCAAAGGTGGAATTTTAACCCTTTTTCATGCAAGGTTTCAGGCATACACTAAGCCAGGGGTCTTTAAACTTGGCCCTTTTATGACTTGTGGACTTCAACTCTCAGAATCCCTCAGCCAGACATGCTGGCTGAGGAATTCTGGGAGTTGAAGTCCACAAGTTATAAAAGGGCCAAGTCTGAAGACCCCTGCACTAAGCTAATAGCTGCCTCTCTGCTACAGTTATGCTATCCAAAAAAGGTCTACCTACTATTTTCTTCTTTTTGAGGATTTCCAAAATTTGAGATATTTGATAGGTGATTTCCTTTCATTCTGTAATGTTTCCTTCCAGATGTAGTGGAGCTACAGCTAACAATAGTCTTCATTAGTGGTTACAAAGAATTGTCATCCAGTAACATTTGGAATCTATGGGTTTTTCACTCCTCATTTAATCCGACATGAACAAAGAGAACCACATACAGTATGTTAGGGCTGCCATACCTATGTTGCAAAAATTTGGATGACCACTAGACAGTTATACAGAGATACTAAAAAAATCACATTAGATCATCATCATCTAGACATTTTTCTACATAGACATGGTAGCCAGATATATTTTCTCATTGTCCTCTGATTATTTGATCTTCAGATCCCATTGAACCCTATCAGAATGACTAATGGTAAACATTATTAGAAGATTTCTCTTAAGTACAATAATGTATATTCCATCTTCAGATGATGGTGCATGAAATAAGCGTATACTGCACCAACTCACTGGTCCATCTAGCATAGCATTAGCTCCACCAATCCAAAGTTTCTTTCCAATCTTACTTCCAATCTTTCCAATCTTAAAGCAAAGAATTTCTCCATGAGAAAATGTACTCTATCATTACATCATGACTCCTCCCAAATAAATAGTTCTGAGTCACGCACTGAAGTTTCTCACAATTTTTTTTTTTTACTGTGCCCACAACATAGTAGTTTCCATCATGAAAATGCCAGCCAGGAAAAAAAAAATTACAGTTGTTCAGCCTATATTGCAGCATTTTGAGTAGAGATCCATTTCAATTTTCAGTGCACTAAATGTTACATACACAGCCACACAACATTTTAAAAACAAGAATGGTAGACTCTGGTTCCCAATTTAGATTCTGGACAGAAATCGGCATTTTAGATGATCTGTTAAGATGCTGAGCTTTTCGGCTGGATAGCCGGCAGCCCAAGTTTGAGACTTGAGTGGCACACGACGGGGTGAGCTCCTGTCCTCCGCTCGAGCTCCTGCCATCCTAGAAGTTCCAAAGCATGCAAGTGCAAGTAGATAAATAGGTACCACTTTGGTGGGAAGGTAGCAGTGTTCCATGCACCTCAACCTATAGCAGGGATAGGCAACCTTGGCTCTTTTATGACTCGTGGACTTCAACTCCCAGAATTCCTGAGCCAGCCATGCTGGCTGAGGAATTCTGGGAGTTGAAGTCCATAAGTCATAAAAGAGCCAAGGTTGCCTACCCCTAACCTATAGTAATGCTGACCACATGACCACGAAAATTGTCTTTGGACAGTGCTGGCTCAATGTCCTTGAAATGGAAATGAGCACCACCCCCTGTAGTCGGCAGTACTTAGTAGAGTAAAATCTGCAGTGACTCCTTTTTTACTAAATGTTTGCAAGCAGAGATAAGGGCGCATAGGCTATAGCCCTACCTACAGTCAACATTTTGCTTTTCTGTCTTATAAAGTCTAGAAGCATTTCCACCCCACTTGCTAGCAAATTAACACTGCAGGCAAGCAAGAAAAAAATGTGTACAGTAAGAAGATTCTATACTAAATCTTTCCAGCATGAAAATAATAGCACCAGGCGATTCTGTAATGACCTGAGTGGAAAAAAATAAAATAAAATAAAATGGAAAATCTAGGATCCAAAAGAAAGCAGTGGTTTTTAATCCACATTCTAAGTATTTTTTTTCCTTGATTCTCAGGATATCAGTATAAACAGAAGAACCGTGCAGGAAAATTAAATAAAAAAAAATTAAAAAAAGGAATGTAACATTCCATGGGTAAATGTCCCATGTGAACATTACCACTCAGTCAATTCCAGTTTGGTCCTGGGAAATTTCTACAATAGCTACTTCCTGAGAGACACTTAAGATACGAACTTCCTTTTTATTTGATACTTCTGATGGACAGGATGTCTCCTTTTTTTTAAAAAAATGTACCATTTCATCTCCTCTTGAGAGTTGGTGTATATCCTACAGCAGAACTGAAGCGTGGGGCTGTAGCAAAAAGGAACAGCAGGCTAATTTCTATTACACTTGTGATTATTTTGGGTAATTTATTCTGTGTAATCCTTTGACACTATAGCAACAGAAAAGTGCTGAGAAATATGAACATTCTTTGACTTCTTTGGAACTTGGATTAATATTAATTAATAATAAATTGATGTCACCAGGAAAAAAAATGATTTAGCAATCTCAAGTAATAGGCCTTTAAATGGACACAAAAGCCTTGGTCTTGCATGTACCCAGATAACACACATGGGACAATTTATCTATACTTTATTTTTCCTTGAATAATCCTGGCAATTGAATGTATATGTGAATGATTTCATTAAAAATAGCTGGCTGGATTCGGAATAGTTTAGACTGCATTTCCCAATCCTGTGTCACTTAATGATACTGTCCTAAAGTTCTAAGAATCCAGAAATATCCTAATCAAGGAGAGAACCAACCTAGAACCAAGGAGAAACCTCCTGACAGTGAGAACAATTAACCAGTGGAACTGCTTGCCTTTAGAAGTTGTGGGTGCTCCATCACTGGAGGCTTTTAAAAAAAGACTGGACAGCCACTTGTCTGGAATGATATAGATGAAGGGGTTGGACTAGAAGACCTCCAAGGTCCTTATTCTGATCCATATATTATTCTTTTAGAGTGCTGGTGAGAATTTCCATGTTATTTTTGCTTTCTTCCCATCAAAACCTGTGGCTCCCAAGTTAGTAATGTTTAAAATAAATCCTCTTTTTATGAATTTATGTGACTAGGCTCATACGTTTCCCTAAACCGGGGGTAGGCAACCTTGGCTCTTTTATGACTCATGGACTTCAACTCCCAGAATTCCTGAGCCAGCCATGCTGAGGGGAAAGGGAGAGGTTTC